CGTATCCAGGGAAAAGAAACTTTTTTCTGCAATTTGATTGCGGATTTTAAGACTGCTTACTGTGAATGTTATATAGATCTATGTGACGTTTGGTAAAATTCGACGGCCTAATAAGCGAGATAACCTTCAGGTGTAGACGCCCCCCCCCCAGCTCCTTAATCTGTCTCTTTCTCTCTTTGTCTCTACATTTTTCTCTTTTCGTATCTCTCTCCTCTCTCTCTCTCTCTCTCTCTCTAAAATAACAGCACAGTAACGTAACACCAGTCAGTTAACAAAAATCTCTCTCTCTCTCTCTCTCTCTCTCTCTCTTTGCCCCCCCCCCCCCCATTCTATTTTGATCTTTCAGGAGGTGGACAACTGCTTCGATCCTGTCTGTCGGGCCAACGCTGGCTGAATGGGAAGCATCATCCCACCATACTAATGGAGGTACATGTACTTAATAAATAAATCTGATTTTAGGATTCGAACTCCCATCTTCTCAGTGTATTGATAAGGAGCTTCATTATTCCACAGACTTTATGAACTTCTTAAAGAGTAAAGTAGCAATGGTTATATAGTGGCGTATAAATGAGCATCTCGAGAGCTAAGCGATATATTGTAAACAAGAAAAAAAAAACCCAACTCACAGCAAGGACATACACGACTGACATTTTAACGAGAAAGCTTGTTGGACGAGTCATAAAAACAGGTCCGCAATAAGAGCCAACGACACTGACTGGAAGTAACTAAATTTCAATATCTTCATGTACAATTATTTCATTAAGCTTTGTTAATCAAACCCTCCCCAAAACAGAATGATAATGAAAAAAAAGCATATCAAGGCGGGTGCCTGCAGAATATTAGAAATCCCCCCCCCCCCCACCCCACTCTGAAAAACCCAACCACAACCAAACATTAAAACAAAGACAAAAGGGGTTAAAAATGGACGTGCACCTGGAGATAATGTTTACTTCGTAAGCTGTATCCATAGTATATTTGCTGGCCCCTACAGCAGCCGACAGGAGAAGGCGAGGGAAACCAGCATAGTCAAAAGCATTCCTCAGCTCCTGCAAGAGTTTGATCAACGTACTCGTATTAACGCGCTATAGATTTAATTTGTCTAAAAGATTTTGAACGCATTTAACAATACATGAAGGAATAAACCACTGTACGACTAACCAGTGCATAAAAATTGAGTTGCTACGACAGCAGTCAAAAGAATAAAAAGTCATACAAATGCCGAAGATAAGGGGTAACGAGAGGGTGACAAAAGAAAATGAGATACGAGGCAATAGATGTTTGATAGAAAAGAAGGAACAAACCATACCAGAGCACTCCACTACCCGTGTAAAAATACGAAACCAAGCGAGTTCTCACAAGCGTTTCCTCACGCCATGTCGCCACAGCCGTGTCAGACGAGCATCTTGCATTGTGACAAAGGTGTTGTGAGAACTCATAGACAGAACTCGAGACTACGCATCGTAAACGTGCAGGAAGAGCGGGCGCAGCTGGGACGCCACAGCCACTTGGACGCTGCTTGGAGGCCCCATTTTGCAGCGGCAAAAATTTAGACAAGAAATGCGCTACTGAAGACAGCGTGGAAGTTACTTGCTAGCCACTGTCTCTCCCCACAGACGCTTCCTGGGCGCAACAAAAAACGTGCAGCGTTGTGCTTTAGCTGTGCACTAAATTTTGTCGCCCCTTTCAGGCCACATTTGTTCAACAAAATACTGCTTAAAATCTTATAGCAACTGTGTTCAAATCTGTCACTTAGTTCTTGATCTACACTACGAGTAATAATGAGTTTTAAAAAAACAACCAAAATGGATGAAGCGCCATTGAATGCCGCTGAGAGGACCACTGTATGACAAGACAAGCCCTGACTACAGCAACAGGAATTATGTGAATGTGGAATGGAAGAAGATTGCTGAAGAAGTTGGATGCGATGGCAAGTGTGAAACCATAACTAGCCTTTTAAAAATTGCTTTATTGATCGTAGTAGCTTGATCAACTTATTTTATACCAGAGCACAAATGTGAGTATGAGTGTTTGATACACATAAAAGGGGGAGGGAGAGATAGAGGGGGG